TTTATTTTCTCAAAAATGCCTCGTCTTTTTAAAAAATAATGAAAGAATTGCATAAGCTTATTGGAAGAAGGTCGTTTAGTGAATGATGTAGCTTTAATTTATAATGTTGATCCTAGAAAAACTAATTTCTCAAATTTTTCGGAAGTTGGCTATAACTCAAATTATCGCATTTTAGAAAGTGTTACATTTATCAAAAAAAAGGGATTTGAGAATCTGACACAGCGTCAAACTTTGCTAAAAAAAAAACCTGGCTTCCTTTAACCACTCTGTATAAGTGGATAAATAAAAGAAATATACCGGTGTACGTGTTCTCAGTGAGTTGGTCAAGAACCTCCCGAATACCGCAACTCGATATATCTTTCCGATTCGGAAATATCGAGATTTGAATTTGGGTAAAATTTTTCATGTTGCAAACCAAGTGTCCACGAGTTTGGTAATAATCATCGAATTTAGAAACACCTTCCAAAATATGCTAAGGTTGAACTATCTGTGAGCCTGCCGTTTTCAATACCAGTGTACATATTGCGTAATGTTTAATATTGTAGTTCATGGTGCAGTGTTATATGCTACTGATTTTTGGCTTCGATGTTTAATTATTGATAATTAGTTTCAAAAGTTGTGTTTCTGGCTTTGTCTAAAATTTACTTCAGATTTGCAGTGTCATTTTGTGGTAAGGTTAGTGAAAACTGTCTTAATTATTTGTAAATACAATACCTGTTTGTAATTGGTTTCTACAGTACTAAAAATGGTCTATTTTCCCATTTATAGTAGTAGTAATATTTGAATAACTGTTCACATTGAAAGCATTGGTATATCTGAATATGTGTTACTGAACTATTCATTTTTCAAAGAAGAAGAAAAATTAGTTTCAAGAAGCTCAGTTCGGTCCACTGGTTACGATTGATATGTTTAATAACCGTTTTCAACTTAACGGCTATGTTTAAATATGGCGGCCAAACGTCCACAGCTGTCTAATAATGCCCTGCTATCAAACTGAGGAGACATATATCGGCACACATAACCTTAGTGCCTGCTCCTAGATTAGGGTCACATATGTCGAGGTTCAAAAAAAGGTACCTCAAAATCAGACATTTCATATTTCAAGTTACAGATATCAGCAATTGCCCTTGGGGATCGTTCAAAGAGAGGGGGCGCCGTAAGTAGCAGATCATACGGGCCATTCACGCTAATATGTATATGAAAGGGATATAGGATTTATGTACATTTTATGCTAATCGCAGCGGAGAACAGCCGTGATATGCGCACATACGGCACGATCACAACATGTAACAAATTATCAAATTGTAACATAATTTTCCCCTGAAATTTTGTTGAATTATAACATTTGTCATAATCAATAATTGAGGAACTTGCATTCAAAGCCGCCTATATAGGATCCATTACTTGCATATTTTGACTTTTTCATGGATTTCGTCCAAGTTTGAGAAGCTCTATCGACTGGCAAGTTCATTGTGTTCAAAACCACCTATTTTGCGTGATTAAATTGCATCCAAAGTTGTGGTTTTGCATCAAAACCACTTATATCTGATTTTGTGATCAAAACAGCCTATATCCAGGATCAGCTGTTCCGGATCGCGCACGCTAATTAGGTTAGGTGTAAGAATTTAGTACGGAAAGCAACGAAAATCATGGAGCAAGAACTTATAAGCATTGAAGAAGGGAATAAAGGCACAAGACGCCGCAAAAAGGGGGTCACAGCAAGACAATTAATAATAATAATATAAGTTTATTCGAACGTCCTTGGTGCCACATTCCAAAGAGACGGAATTGATATCGCCCTTATCCAGGAACCATGGAGCCCGAACAAAGGTCGAGTATCAGGACTTGGAGGAACATCTGGCAAGGTAATAGCATCACCATCGCTAACCAATCCGAGGGCATGCATCCTTGTCAGGAAAACTCTAAAATACTTTGTTCTCACAGATTTCTGCGAAAGGGACATGGTGTCTATCCCCCCGGACCCTACCAGGGAAAGTAGAGGTTGTAATTACCTCTGCCTATTTTCCTGGTGATGCAGAAAAATCACCTCCTCCCCAACTGGTGCGGTACTTAATCGACCAGTGCAGGAGGAAGAACGTGCACCTGGTACTAGGATGCGAGTCCAAAGCGCATCACACGATCTGGGCGAGCACAGTTGTTAACCAGCGAGGTGAGTCTCTGTTAAACTATTCAATCGGGGAGGGACTAATGGTTAACAATAAAGGCGCTGAGCCTTCCTTTATTACTAGAAGTAGGAAAGAGGTACTTGACTTGTCAATTAGCACTAATCATTTAAGCCGCAAGATCAAAGATTCGCGGCTAACGTCGGAAGCCTAGAGTTCTGCCCACCGACATATTCGCTTTGAGATTGCAACGGGTGTAATTCCCATGGTATACTACAGGAATGTGAGGAATACGGACTGGGATGGATATAAAACGACCCTGAAGGAAAACCTGAATTCCTGTAGTAGGACCATAACAAAAAAATAAAGATCAACTGGACTTCATAGAGGATCGGGTAACGCTGGCCATAGGTTCACAGTCTTAATAAGAAAACTATAAAGGTTCGGAAACTCTTCAACCGGGCCGAAATCTGGTGAGTGGGACCAGTATTGGAGGGCCTTGACCGACTATAATGAAGCGGTCCGCAAAGACAAAACTGAGTCATGGAAAAAGTTTTGCGAGAGCATATCAGATGCACCGAGCAGTGCTAGGTTCTACAAGATCCTCTCCAAGGATTGTGGACAGGAGCTGGGGTCGATCAAGCGACAAGACAGTCCAGGGGAGAAACCTTTGAGATGATTGCCGAAAACCACTTTCCAGGAAGTTTATCATCTGATGACTGGCCAATCCCCCCCAATTCCCGGAGAAGCCGATGGATAAACGACCCCACATGGGAGACTGGCAGGTTGTCAGAACCATAGTAACATCTGATGCGGTAACAGGAGCGATAAAATCATTTAAGTCCTTCATATCGCCGGAGAGGATGGCATGTATCCAGTTCGACTGGATATATTGATGCCATTCCTCATAGCACTCTACAGAGCCAACCTAGCGTGGAATCACATACCATATGGATGGAAGGTGACAAGGGTAGTCCATATAACCCAAACCTGGACGGACAGATCCAGTGGCGAAGTCATCCAGACCAACTAATCTAACCTCATTTTTGCTGAAAGGCCTTGAAAAGGTAATTGCTGAGTACATAGGGGGGGGGGCTCTGAGGAGGCATCCTCTAAGTGTGCATCAATATGCCTATCAGGCTGGTAAATCAACAGGCCTTGCTCTCAACAACTTGGTTGCGAGCATCAAAGCGTCCTTGGAAAACAAGGAAATTGCCTTAGCCTTTTTGGACATAGAGGGAGCATTTAACAATGGTTTACCAGAATCCCTCTATGAATCAATCGCCTCCAGGGGTGTGAATCCTCTGAAATGCGGCTGGATCAGAAGCATGTTGACATGCAAAATCATAACGATATCCTTACAGAGGGAGACACTCAGATTTAGAGCTGCTAGGGGATGTCCACAGGGAGCGGTTTTATCTACCCTTTTGTGGTCGCTCCTGGTAGATAATCTATTGCCATTATCTGCCTATCGGAGGCCGAGGTTCAAGCATATGCAGACGATCTAGTCGTCCTGGCCAGAGGAAAATCTGGGAACACATCTCGGGAACCCCCCCAGGAGGAGTTAACCGCAATAGCGGATTGGTGCGAAGGGAAAGGAATGTCAATCAACCCGCAAAAAATGAACCTCGTACCTTTCACCAGAAAGAGAAAACTGGATAGGATTAAACCTCCAACAATCCAAGGTGAAAATGTACCAGGCCTTCTTCTTTTGCTTTAAACAAAACGTGTTTCCCAATTCTAAAAAACACATCGCAAAAGCCACGTCACTCAAGAGGCCCAGAGTACCCCCACCATACAACTCAGTCCTCAGTCTGCCGATCGCCTATAAAACCGCACGCTCATCCAGTTAACCGATCAGTTTCAGTCGACCCGCCAAGCCGAGCACTTCGCTCTTGCCGACAACGTCACTGAAGATGGCTACCGCAGATGTAGCCGAAAGCTCTCGACCAAATCCAACCCGAACACGGCTCAACAGCCCGAAAAACCTAAATTACATTAGAATTAGCCGTGAAAGCCTTCATTCTGATAGCAGTTTATTCCAGGAAAATAATTTCATTGATATTCATGAAATAACTCGAGTGAGGTGCATCAAATTATTTGCACTTATATTTATTTTATTATACACAGTGTTTTCAAAGTTGAGTCATTTATTCTAACAGCTTATTGAACTCGTCATAAGAAGTTGATTTACCAAAAATTACCTATATAAAACTTGGATAATGAGACACGCTTATATAGGTAAGTTTTTGTTATTTGGGAGGTCAGTCCAAAGCCTAACTTCTCCTTAAGTTTGTCGAGGTACTTATTAAACACCCTGTATGTATGTAATTTGTGTTACTCCGCCTATTCTTTACTGTAACTTACACAATCGCAATCTGAAAAAGGTATTGTTAGCGTAAATGTTAAAAAACGATTCCATTTTAAAATTTAGTGCATTCCTAATGTTATTTAAAAAAATATTATAATGCATTTTGTGTGTATTCCATCGTTTGTAGAAGGTTGCTGTTCAGTAGTTTCTTTAAAAAATACCGGTCCACCGATTTAATTTAATGTTAGAATTCAAATTTTTATGTAACTGGCTCCGGTTATAAGCAGTATTTTTCTAAGTATTCCTCGTCGACACATTGAATTTATTTATTCATTTGCAACATCATCAGAAGGTGCTTTGAAATGAAAAACGATTCAGAAACTTCTTATAAACAACGTATATTGTAAAAAAAGTATAGGTTTCGATAGCAGATATGACAGAGTTGTAAACACTACATTCATATTTAGCCGTGCGTAAAACAATTTATAGACAAACCAATGTATTTGAAAGTTAGAGAATCCTCTGAACTATTGATAATTCCTTAAGTAAAGAATACGCAAACTTACTTTATTAGAAAATTCAACTTCATACTTATTGGACTGCTTTTCCAATTTTCTAATTTTTCGACTTATCAAAACCAATCAGCAACTTGATTTAAATTACTATCAATTACCCTTAAATATGTATGCATTGCAATAGGGATTATTTTTGGTATGCTTCATTTCAATTCAGTAATGAGACTCCTGCGCGAATAAATATTCACACTGTAATCTTACATAATTATATTAACGTTTTATTATTAAATTGTACATTACCTGCTAGTGCTATGGAACATCCCTCAGCTATGAGATAGTACCCAGTTTGATGTATCGTGCTATCTGTGACAGATGGCTGATCACATTCCCATTGTTAGATGACGATTACTTAGTACGTTGTCTTTGGTTTGGGGTGTGTCACCTTTTAATACCGCCACTGGCTTCCAAGAGTTTATGTAGTTCACTGAAACAAGCAACCTACTAGAGAAAACCTGAGTGTCAATAGACCGTTGAACGCATTAGGCTCGTTGGCGCTTGTTTTAAGTAGGTCTTAGCAGTCATTCCTACAATATTGTAGGACGCCTGTATGGCCTCCTTGATTTTCATAGTTTTTTACTGTTCCGTGTCAGCGCTGTATTTTGAGATTATGTCGCAAATACCCATTTGCATCATATTGTTCATGCTATTGATTTACATCATCTGTTTTATCAGCCTGAAATTTCCTACATATCAAAAAGAAAACATAGCTTCACAATAGGTAGCGTTGACGCTGACTCGGATCAGTAAAAATCTAGAAATATCCCAGAATTTCTGAAGAAGAGAAAATACTGTGACAATCCAGGAGACCTTAAAGGCGTGCTACAATTGTAGGAACGACTGTTGATATGGCCGTTAGATATTTAATATTTGTCCTATTAGACCAAAAAACTAATAAAATATTTTTTTCAGACCTAAAGGTTCCTAAAACTTTTTTCGGCAGGCGTAAACGCTGTCCACCATGTTTGGCCTATATATTGATGTGCTCTGACGTCATACCATTGGAAAATAGCAGCTGACAGCAGTATAAAAACATCTCAAATTTTAAAACATATAAAAATGACATCTACTAATTTACATGAAAAATATGGTAATTATACAGGGTGGCGTATCGAAAACGAAACAGACGCATTTACTGGCAGCTGTTTTTTTTTTTAAAACGCTCAAACCCGTCGATTTTGTTTTCGAGGGGGACACAAGTTTGGCAAAATATCACGGTAGCACGTGCAGTCCCCTAAGCGGGGGTGACACCACCCCAAAAATCTTAAATATAATGATATAAATTAATGTACTTCAGTTCAGTAGTTTTGAAGATTTATTGATTTAAAGCTTAAATAAAACTAATACATCATCATTAGTGGAGATCAATACATTTGGCAGCAAAGTAATTTAAAAATGAATAATGAACTGACCCGTTAGGCGAGTAAATGTTGAAAATGGCCACCATGACTCTCCATGCAATAATAAAGATTTTGCTCAAAACGTTGCCGCACATTTTGCAATATTTGAGGAGTAATTTGAAGGCACTCATTCACAATTCTTTGTTGCAGGTCTTTTAATGATGTTGGCTGAGTAGCATAGATTTTGCTTTTTAAATGACCCCACATAAAGAAATCCAAAGGAGATAAATCTGGAGATCTTGGGGGCCATTCAATGGCACCTCATCTACCAATCCATCGATCTGGAAACGTCTGATCTAAATATTGTCGAAAACGTGATGAGTAATGTGGTGGGGCACCATCCTGTTGGAACATCAACCTATTCGCAATGTACCGCCGATCATTCTGATTTTCAATTATGGCTGTTAATGCAGGATCTATGGCGTCTTCCAGTAATTCCAAATACATTTCACGGGTCAAATTTCCAGGCAAGAAAAAAGGACCAACTAAATGATCGCCAAAAATACCAGCCCAAACATTTAATTTTTGTGGCTGCTGTGCATGAACCTCATGATAAATTCTGGGATTAGTATTGGACCAATATCGGCAGTTATGACGATTTACTACGCCATTTAAGAAAAATTAACATTCGTCGGAAAAGCAAGTGTTGAATATAAAATGTTCATCGTTTATAATTCGTTCACTCATATCTTCACAAAATTGTAATCGCCGATCAAAATCGTCTTCATTAAGTTCTTGTACCAGGTGAATTTTATACGGATGAAAACTATGGGCCTTTAGAATCCGTTGGACAGTTCATCGACTAACACCACACACAGTCTCCAATTTGCGGGTACTTAACGTAGGATCTACATGAACTTGGCCTAAAACCCCCACTTCTATTGCTTCGTTCCTTATGGGATTTTCAATGTTGCGTTTTTTATTGGCGACTGACCCAGTTTCCCGAAATTTAGCTACAAGTTCTAGAACATATTTTCGATGCACGTTACTGTTCTCATGTCGCTCATTAAATATTTCTGCTATTCTATTAGCGCACTGATTATTTCCGAAAAATATTTCGATAATTTCAACTCTTTCTGCTGTAAAATATACCATGGTTAATTTATGTAAGTTACAAGTTACAAGTTTTTTTAGCAACAAAATTTGGTCAAATCAATCGCAAACTATGTACTAAATTCCTATTTAAAATAAGTACGAGATATTTCCTTATCTTTTTTCTTGCCACAAAAAACGCTCCAACATAGTAGCTATTTTAAACAAACCATGGACGAAGTGAAGAAAAGCATTTACTTATTAAGTAAATTCTTTTAGTCAAATTTCTTCTGGAAGTAGTACAAACTAATCTGATGTACCTATTAAAGTCTACTTTAAGCTTTAAATCAATGAATGTTCAAAACTACTGAACTGAAGCTCATGTATTTTACATCATTATAAAGGGAATTGAAAGACTTTTAAAATAAGGTATCACTCGACCCCCCTTTCCATTTAAGATTTTAGGATTGGTGTCACCCCCGCCCAGGGGGCTGCACGTGTTAACGTAATTTTTTGCCAAACTTGTGTCCCCCTCGAAAACGAAATCGACGGGTCTGAGCGTTTTTCCAAAAACTAAGCTGCCAGTAAATGCGTCTGATTCGTTTTCGATGCGCCACCCTGAATATGGTATACAACGTTGTAAACAACGTTCGACACTCCACAATTGGGAATTGTGTCTCCTACATGATGAGATGAACTTTTTAGTCTCGGACGTTCGACGCATGGTGGTGCCAACGTCTATTAACGGTGTCACTATCGCGCTCCTGGCTTCAGCGACCAAAATTTAAGTCTGTCATACGCCTCAGAAATGTCGAAAAACGAAGTTTGACCGTTTTTTGTTTGTTTTTCGGCGATAATTCCGCCGCCACTGTACCGACTTTCAAAAACTGCAGGGCTTTTTCATCATTTTCATAGTAGTAAACTAGGGTCAAAATTTCATTAGAATCCTGATAGTACTTTCAGAGTTATCATTTATTCAATCTTTTTCGTTAGTTATGAAATGCAAGTCAATATGTTTATCAACTAGTCTTGCATTGTAACAGGATATTATAATGAAACAACTGTAAGCACTTGATAATTTATAATTTACTAAAATACATATAAATAGGCCAGCTATAACTCATCTGCGAAAAGTACAAAATATTAGCAATATGAAAAAAGTATTTCTCCGCAAAAGTTGGTTAACATACATTATTATGAATACGTAGGTATTCAAATCAAAATACTTTACCACAATCACAGCAAACAAGTAAATAAGGTTTTTCGCCGCTACCGGTTCTAACCTAAAACCATCAAACACATGGGAGCGTAACGAAGCATGCTTCCAACGTTGTAACGTTCTTTGACGCGGGTCAAATTTAAACCGGTCCCACACGATGTGGCGAATCCCTTACAACGTTGGACACATGGCCATTCGCCGCATCGTGTGGGAGAGCGCTGACGGATTGCATGTGTCCAGCGTTCTCCACATGCCACGTTCGGGCTCTTGTCGGTAAATTTGACCCGCGTCAAAGGACGTTACAACGTTGAAAGCTGGAAGCATGGTTTGTTACGCTCCCACACGAGAAGTCATGAGTTTGATGGTTTTAGGTTACAACCACTAAATTTTGAGGAGAATGAATTAAATTAGTATACATACAAAGCATAGGCTGCCATATCAACACTTTGTTCAAATTGCCAATATTTTGTACGTTTCGCAGGTGAGTTATGGCTGTTCTAAGGATATGTATTTTAGTAAATTATAAATAATCAAGTGCTTACAGGTGTTTCATTATAATGTCCTTTTGCAATGCCAGACTAGTTGATAAACATATCGACTTGCATTTCATAACTAACGAAAAAGATTGAATAAATGAAAGTAATATCAGGATTTTGATGAAATTTTGACCCTAGGTTACTACTACCAAAGTGACGAAAAAGCTCTACAAACAAACAAAAAAACGGTCAAACTTCGTTTTTCGACACTTCTGAGGCTTGTGACAGACTTAAGTTTTGGTCGCTGAAGACAAATCTGAAATTATTTTTCGGCCCTCGAAAAAATTGTTTCATCGTTCATTTTGTATAATTTTTCCTTCAGTTGTAAAGGCTCAAGCACGACAGTGACACCGATAATAGACGTAGGCGCCACCATGCGGCGAACGTCCGAGACTAAAAAGTTCATCCCATCGTGTAGGAGACACTCTTGCCAATTGTGGGGTGTCGAACGTTGTGAACAACGTGTATACAACGTTGGAAGCATCGTGGGGGACCCGCATTACAGACAAGAGCCAGAACATGCTATGTGGTGAACGTTGGACACATGCAATCTGTCTCCCACACGATGAGGCGAATGGCATCGTATGGGAGCAGTTTAATTAGACTGCCCAGGAAAATAAGTACACAACACACTGTATTGCTTGCAGTATACCTTACGTTCGGGACATATCTTGAATTTTATAGTGCAGATTTTATCGTATCGTTGAAGTTGGACCTAACCGACGACATCGTCATCGTACGATTTAGAATTACTCAGAGGTTATGACGCACGGGCTTAGTTTTGAATAATTTCTGAAAAGGAAGATTGTGTAGGTATATTACGTATTCTTTCTTTTCATGCATATCATTGTATCAGATGCTTTCATAATCGATATTCCACAGCTCAGTAGAGCAGAAACCTGGGTTGAAGGCAAAAAAACAACCAACCATAAATATATCAATTTTCGCCAAATTTGTGCTTTCTGCTTTCTCGAATCCAACGGCCGTGATTGATTTTCTTTGAATAAAACCAGAAAAGGATAAATTTTTACGTTGATTAGAAGTTTTTTGAAAATACTTAAAGAAGACCACGTTTGTCCACGAGTGACATACGGATACTGTTTCTTTGTTTACCATTTGTATCGCGTCACATTATGACCGATAGTGTTTTCACCGTTTCGTAATCAAAATAAGAAATATATATTTTTTAACTTGGACTTATATATCCCTTTTGCGCT